AGTTACACCTAACTACTGACATAAACTACACGTATACAAGTTACACCTAACTACTGACATAAACTACACGTATACAAGTTACACCTAACTACTGACATAAACTACACACACGTATACAAGTTACACCTAACTACTGACATAAACTACACACACGTATACAAGTTACACCTAACTACTAACTGCAAAACAAACACTCTATGTTCTAGATTTTTCATCCTTGATCCAATCAGTTGCGGTTTTTTTTTCTTCTTTGATCCACAGTTGTTGTTTTTTCACCCTTGGCTCACCCAGTTGTTTTTTTCACCCTTGGCTCACCCAGTTGTTTTTTTCACCCTTGGCTCACCCAGTTGTTTTTTCACCCTTGGCTCACCCAGTTGTTTTTTCACCCTTGGCTCACCCAGTTGTTTTTTTCACCCTCGCGACTCCCCTTTTTTTATCCATGACTCACTCAGTTTTTGGGGGGTTTTATTTGAACCAATCAGTAGGGGTTTTTTTTTTCATCCTTTGTGACATGTGCTGCAAGGCGAATGTCCCAGTGGTAAGTTTACTTTTAGTAGAAGTTTTTCGGTGCTCGCAGCTGCATAAGGTCATATGAGCGCCAGAAGATTAGAGGTGTTACAAGAGAGTAACAAACATAAAAAAGAAAAAGGGGAGATAAGGACGATAGATGTTTGACAGGAAAGAAGAAGCAAACCACAGCAGAGCACCCGCCAACCACCCACGCAGTGGTAAAGTTTTTGCATTTTTCTATTCAAACAAAAAACGTCGATAAACATTAAAGGCACAACAAATTTTCTGTTTCCAAGAACTGTCAAGATATGATAGTGACCGAACTTTGGCGGCCATTTTCTTGCTAATTTTACCCCTGAAACCAGGCAACCCCAGCTCCTTCAATGGCAAAAATCTCCACTTCTATTCAAGTTAGATGGTTAGATTAGAAGTGTTACAAGAGAGTAACAAACACGAAAAAGAAGGAGGGGAGATAAAGATGATAGATGTTTGATAGGAAAGAAGGAGCAAACCACGTCAGAGCACCCGCCAACCACTCATAAAGACAGACAAACAACAAGACAAACAAATGGGACAGACAAAGAGACAAACAAACGGGACACATGCCCCAAAGAACTGACGAGAACAAACAAACGAAATGTTACAGACAGACAGACAGACAAACAAACGGGACACATGACCCAAAGAGCTGACGAGAACGCGTACCTGTCAATTCCATCATACGATTTATTCATGGTATTTGACTATGGCAAAAAAAAAAGAATAAAGTTATTAAAACAACTGTTATCAAAGAACCAGGAAGCCAACTTCACAGGCATGAACACACACACACATACGCACTCACGTACATACAGTATAAATACAACAGAAAAGACAATGATGATTTTTTTGTTAGAAATTAAAAACGCAGTCGTTAATCCAATGATTTTGGCGCACAACTGTTATGAACTTAAGGTCAGGCCATAAAAAATGTTGGAGAGATAGAAAGAGAGAGAGAGAGAGAGAGAGACAGAAAGACAGAGAGAGAGAGACGCAGAGTCCACAAAGAGTCAAGTTGCGTTAGCGTAAAACCGAACCCAAACCCTCTGGACCAGACCACCACAACTATAAGAACCGAACCCAAACCCTCTGGACCAGACCACCACAACTATAAGAACCGAGCCCAAACCCTCTGGACCAGACCACCACAACTATAAGAACCGAACCCAAACCCTCTAGACCAGACCACCACAACTATAAGAACCGAACTCAAACCCTCGGGACCAGACCACCACAACTATAAGAACCGAACCCAAACCCTCTAGACCAGACTATGACAGTAACACCTAGAAGAAGTACAACACACACACACACACGGGAGCGCGCACGCACACACGCATGCACACACACACGCTCGGGCACGCTGTATTCACTAACCACTCTCAGGCCTTTAAAAATAGAAAAGCCGTCAGAATCTGTCGTTTACGATGAAGGAAAAAATGAAATGTCCACGACCACGAGAAGCGGCCCGCTACAGCTAGGGTCAGCCACTCGGCTTCCCCGGGATACATATGTGGGCCAGGCGCGATAAAAACAAAACCCAACCATGAATGACACCCCCCTCCCCTCACTCCTCTTCCATCACACTCCCATTACCCCCCCCTCCCCCTCAACCAAGAGATGATTCAGATACCGCCCAGGAAACAGTAACTTTGTACTTAACCTGTCCCTGGGGTTATACACAGCCCGCATAATTTGACATCATTTGTCGCATAATTTCTGATTAGTTTCCTTTATCATTCTTTGATAAAAATAAAATTAACACAAACGCATAATTTCGCAATTTTGGGCTCAGTTTGTAAAATTATTTCATTTCAGAATTTTGCTTTGCATAAACCGCAGGGACAGACAACTTGCCACATCCTAGAGTAACTTACACACTGCAACACTAGTCGCTGGGGGGAGGGGGGGTTACTTTCTACAGGAGAGGAAGACAGAGAGAGGGGGAGAAGGAGGGAGAGAGAGAGAAAAAAAGAGGGAAAGAACAGATCCCCCACTACCAAGGCTATTGGATCAATAACAATGCAACGCCAAGTCTCATCCTACTTTGTCAAACGTCCCAACAACCGTCCCAAACTGGGACAGAGCAGAGTTCCAATCAACGATACCGTCCGCCAGCCCTTCACCTGTACTAAACCCCAAACTTGGAACATTATCGCGACCCCAGTGCTTTCTTGTCCTATCTCCATTTCAAAAAAATTTTTTTTTTTAAACAGTGACTTCTTCTTAATAATCTTAACCTCACTCTCCAGGGTGTCCAGCAATATTTCCTGAAAAAAATTTAGTAACCGAAACATTTTTTTTACTACCCAGCAAATGAAGCTCCGCACCAGCTCGGAAATAAAAGGGAGTTCATTAGCGCCATCAATAACATAGTAATATTACATATTTTTGTAATGAGCTGTTTTCACTGTTATTAAAAATGGATATACGACAAGAAGCGCTGAGGTCGTGAATTCTTTTACTGCAGTTTTTTTCATCAGTGGCATTGATCGCACACGTGTTCAGTGGTATTGATCGCACACGTGTTCAGTGGCATTGATCGCACACGTGTTCAACAAGTATTTTGTATGTCCAAATTCCAAACGTTCACAAAAAAGCAAAGGAAAAAGGGGTAGCCAACTACACAAAGGGGTAGCCAACTACACGTACAAATAGTTTAAAAAATGAAAACTGGTTTTTTTCCCCCTCTTCTGAAATTTTCCCCGGCTTAGTACATTTGAAAAGCTTGCCACTCTATATAATAATAACAACAATAATAATAATAATAGTAATAATAATAATAATAATAACAATAATCATAATAATAACGATACTGGCAATGCTTATATTAAGAATCCAATAAAATTAATGATGATGAAGATGATGATGACGATAACAATAGCAACAAGCACAATGAGCGAGAAGCGCCAAGTTTTGTGAAGTAAACATTTTGAAACCTTTCAATAAAAGACAATATTGAATAAATCAGCTGGGTTAAAAACCTCTAGAAGAACATTCTAAGAACAGAGAAAGAAAAAAACAACCAACCAACAAAACAGCCAGCAAGGGTAGGTAGGTAGGTAGGTAGGCAGTAGCCCCGGCCGGCGCGCCAGTCCTTGTCAGGAGAAATGCTGCGGCAGACGCCATGACCAGAAACTAGACACAAAATATATCATAACAAAAAACAACACACGTTTTTTTTTCTCACACTAAAACATGATTATTATTTCATTGAAAGAATGATCAACTGAGAACACAAACAGAAACTTGCCTACATGATAACAAAGATTTTAAAAAACAAACCACAAAAAACAACAACACCAGAGCACTCGTACCTAAAGAGTACAGACAAAACATTCCAAGAACCATGAGGGATATATTTTCATGCGCGATGCAATCAATCAACTCAATGAGGGGAAAAAAACTGACAAAAGAAAAAACAACAACCCAAAACAAAAGAATATAATGCCTCATGCCCCACCACTGGTCACATCAGAGAGAGAATAACTCACCATATAAGGGGGGAAAAGAAATGTGAGGAATCCTGGTGGAATCAGGCGCTCGGGAAAATAAGGAAATGTGAGAACATTGCATTTTACTTCCCATTTGGCAATTTGTACGGAATATTTATTTTTTGGGGCTCAACACCTTTTATGTGCTTTTAAAAACACATTGCTGTGTGGCTTTTTACTGGAAAAATTGTTGATTAAAGGCATGAAAATGTAAATTTACAGTTTCCAATGACTCTCAAACTTTGGGTCTCGCCAAAACTCTGGCGGCCATTGTCTCTCTAATTTTACTTCTGAAACCAAGTGACCTCACTTGCTTCAATTCGAAGTACCTCGACTTCTTTTGAAGATAGACGGATCATTTTTCATCGAAAACAACACAAATGAACAAGATTTTAGATGGTACCAAAAACCTCCATATGCCCACAAATTGACGAGCGCCGGCTTCCACCACGTTGCCACACAAATGTTCCAAAAATCAACCCAATCTAGTGAGAGTAAACAAAGTAAACATGACAAGTTCTCCAAGACAACAACAAAGTTTTGTACATTTTGTACAGCAGTCCAGCCCAAGTACAGACAAGCCAACTAGTCCTGGCAGACACACGCACGCACGCACGCACGGTGAATTAAGACAGAATCATGTAACAAAACTCCCCAGACATCAGGAGCCAGGTGGGCGATGGAGAGAAGAGAAGAGATGAGACGAGACATGCTTCATCTGCGGCGATGGAGAGAAGAGATGAGATGAGACTGCTTCACCTGCGGCGATGGACAGAAGAGATGAGATGAGACTGCTTTATCTGCGGCGATGGACAGAAGAGATGAGATGAGACTGCTTCATCTGCGGCGATGGACAGAAGAGATGAGATGAGACTGCTTTATCTGCGGCGATGGACAGAAGAGATGAGATGAGACTGCTTTATCTGCTGTTTGTTGTTGCCGTTGCTGTTGTTGTTATTGTTGTTGTGCCTTCAAGCCAGGGGGCCAGGGGGGGGGGGGAAGGGAGCGGGGGTTCGTCGCAGGAAATATGCACCTTCACTCCCGAAACACGAAGTCCGCAGCAAAAACTTGTAAAACATCTGAAACGAGAATTTGGTCCAACAAAAGTGAGGCTCAGACCAAATGGAAAAAAATACAAGGCCACGCTCACCCCGACCCTCTGTTCTTTGGTTTTTTCTTTTTTTTTTTTGTATACAAGTGGGAAAAACATACGGAGTTACCACTCAACTTAGCGGGATGTGAGGCCAGCCATTACAAAGACATTCCAAGTTGCTCCCTCGTTACGTTCCATGCATCGTAATTTGACCAGCTCTATCACATTCCATCCACGTCTCCACCAAACTCCCCATCAACAACTACCACACACCTTCCATCCACGTCTCCACCAAACTCCCCATCAACAACTACCACACACCTTCCAGCCACGCCAGGAATTTAAAACAACAAACACAAACAAACCCGCAAACTTTCCCTAACTGTATAGTCAAAGGTTAAAAAAACTCCCCAAAAACCTGCCAAATCTTTCAAAGTATTTTACCACTTTGCAGTCACCCAGCCAGCAGTACAAAATACCTCATCTGGTCGTATTTTTTAGAATAAGGACCGTTCACAAATGACGTCAGCTCAAAATTTGGCCAAAAATGACACCCCCCCAACCCAGTTGACGTCAACCAAAAATTACATGTACATTTAGAAAGACCTGTTCTCATCTCGCTTCAAGTAGTGTGTGCAAAGGGGAGACATCGGATCATTTTAGTTTTAAGGCAAAAAAATAAAAATAATATGGTCCAATTTAAGGATGTTAATTTTAGGCTTAGGAAAAGTGGTCTGTAATATTATTTCTTCGTTTCTATTCCATCCCCAACAAGCCATGGAAGAAAGCCACGGGGGCCCCTTCTAGGTCAACAAAGTGAAAGTTGATTTTTCATCTTAATTACTTTCGGTAGTTCGGAAATCTCCTTTTAATTTCTGGACAGCAAATTCCCTCAATTACAGCCCCGTACAAAAATTATACACAGTATAATCCACTTACATCGACAGCCGATGTATCCACATTTTGACATATCAACATGTTTTCCAATTACCAAATTTTCCTTCAAGATCTTCACTAAACAATTTCTCTTATACTGAGTTTTTTTCCGGCCCACTCTGCTTTATCGACATGCTTCCTGGGTACCTGGCCAAGTCCATGAACATAAATGGGGGGAAAAGCCACGCCAACGGTCAACGCATTAGTTGTTCATTAAGTCATTAAGTCCACATACCCGCCAAGAAGCCTATTGGACACAGCAGGCTTTAGTAGGTCATGTAGGGCCTACACAGTGTAGTCTCAACACAGGACACTGCCTCACAGACGGGAGCGTCTCGCGCGCTGGGCATCACCTTCCTACCCCCACTCCCGATCGCTCACCCAACATCCCATTCTCAGTGTGTCGCTGACAAGTGCCATGGTCAGTGAGTCAGTGCCTCGCCTTTCCATTCCCCCAGCCAGCGGCCACCAACAGGCCTTACAAAGATGCTTCAACAAAGTATGCGATGGTGTGTAGTGTGTGCTTGCGATGCTCGGTCTATGGTACTGTAACTCCAACATCCCCCCCCCCCCCCCCAAAACCGTGGGGAAAAAAGAATCCAGGGAAGCAACCAGCTTAAAAAAGTAGTGTTGTCTTTTTATCAACATTGAATCCACTTCCCAAAGCATGTCGACATAAGCGGATTTTACTGTAGCATCATTAGATTTTTGTCTTCTTGAAAAATTAACCCAAAAGTGGAACCCCCACCCCGCCTAGGTTGAGGAGTAGAGGAGAGTAGATATCCCAAGTGTGTGCACGACCACAGCTCATGGCATCCATCTAGATTTCCATGTCACACAAAACGTCGGGTCATTTCCCCCCTCCCCCTCCCCCTTGTAACAAAACGTCGGGTCATTTCCCCCCTCCCCCTCCCCCTTGTAACAAAACGTCGGGTCATTTCCCCCCTCCCCCTCCCTCTTGTAACAAAACGTCGGGTCATTTCCCCCCTCCCCCTCCCTCTTGTAACAAAACGTCGGGTCATTTCCCCCCTCCCCCTCCCTCTTGTAACAAAACGTCGAGACATTTCCCCCCTCCACCTCCCTCTTGGAACGCAAACGTGTCATGATCCCCCCTCCCCCTCCCTCTTGTAACAAAACGTCGGGTCATTTCCCCCCTCCCCCTCCCTATTGTAACAAAACGTTGTGTACCAACCCCCCCCCCCATCCTGCGGTGACCTTGACCTACCTCACGGGGAACACAAGACATGGGTGTGCGGCGGGCGCCCCCACTACTGCACGCTGCTCTCGCTGGTGTTGCGGCTCCGGGCCGGGGGTTCCTCGTCGTCAGGGCGCGACTCGCGCGGCCGCCCCTTGCCGAATATACTCTCGTTCCTGGAGGAGTCGGCCGGCCGGTTGGGCGGGTCCTTCACCGTGCGGGGCTTCAGGTTCAGCTTGGGCCGCTGCGCTAACGAGTCTGAGGGGGAAAATAATGTTCCTTGAATATTTTGGTGGGGGTTTTATGGTAAGTAAAAGTTCTACCCAGTCAGAGATGAGTTGGGAAGAAGACGTTGGCGACGGATTGGACACACTTTCAGGAAGTCAAGCAACTGCATAACAAGGAAAGTGTTAGATTGGAACCCACAGGGTAAAAGATCAAGAGGAAGACCACGTGGAACCTGGAGAAGAGTCACAGAAATGGTTGTTCAGAAAGTGGGAAGACATGGAGTGACATCAAGCGACTAGCCCAGGACAGGGAAAGGTGGAAAGTGTTTGTTCGTGGCCTATATCCTGGTCCAGGGTGAGAAAGGCAATGATGATGATGAAGAGTTCTACCACCTTTGCAGAACAATTAAGTCATAAAAGTGCCGTTTAGTACGAGTTTTACGGCACTTGCAACACAATAAGGTCATATAAGTGGCGAAGATTAGAGGTGTTACAAGAGAGTAACAAACACAAAAAAGAAGGAGGGAAGATAAAGATGATCGATTCTGATGTTTGATAGGAAAGAAGTAGCAAACCACACCAGAGCACCCGCCAACCACGTACAGTAAGAGTTTACAACACTTGCAGGGTTATGTTCTACCATATGACTTGCAACATGGAAAAAATAGTTGGTAGTTAACCTATCCTTACGTCGTGTTTTACTATCGTATCCATACAAAGTGGGGAACTCTGTGCCACCACTTAACCCTATCCACACATCATGTTTTACTATCGTTTCCATACAAAGTGGGGAACTCTGTGCCACCATTTAACCCTATCCGTACGTCGTGTTTTACTATCGTATCCATACAAAAGTGGGGAACTCTGTGCCACCATTTAACCCTATCCGTACGTCGTGTTTTACTATCGTATCCATACGACGTGGGGAACTCTGTGCCACCACTTAACCCTATCCGTACGTCGTGTTTTACTATCGTATCCATACGACGTGGGGAACTCTGTGCCACCACTTTCCAAAGAGGAAATTGACTCGTTAATCCGATCCGTGCGCTCTGCATGGCAGTCTGTCAAAATGATTTTTTGAGAAATATTGAAAGTTTCAAAGAGATCTTCGTGCTAGAAGTATTCTAAAATGTGAAGAATACAACCCCGGGGTTACAAAATAACCCTAGGGCATACGGAGAGGGTTAAAGATGGCTACTCTATCAGTCAAGTTACTTCTGAAAAGCACAAGGAGTGGGGGGAGACAACCACACCAGAGCATCCGCCAACCACCCCCCCCCCTTAACTACGCCTCAAACAACAACAACCAACAACAGCACCAACAAGAACCACCACCACCAACAAAATCAACAACAACAAAAACAGCCCCCACCACCACCACCAACAACAACAACAAAAACAACACCACCACCACCACCAACAACAAAAACAACCCCCACCACCACCAACAAAAACAACAATACCACCACCAACAACAACAACAAAAACACCACCACCACTCACCTGGCGAGGCCTCCCTAAACTCGGCTCCATTTCCTCCGCTGTCCTGCCTGCGTCGTCCGCCGCCGAATCCCCCCCTATCACCGCCCCGGTCCCCCATCCTATCTCCGCCACGATCGCTTCCCCTGCTCCCGTAGCCTCGGTCGTACCCTCTGTCATAGCCGCCGCGGTCATTGTCGAAGCCGCGGTCATAGCCCCCCCGCGTGCCTCCCCGGAAACCCCCAGCGCCCCGACCCCCGCCTCGTTGACCCCCGTAGTCCCCGTCGCGACCTCCCCAGCTGCCCCCGCCCCCACGGCCGCCACCGCGACCACCTGGGGAGAAATGGACAGGGAAATGTTAGATCAATACTCAATGTACTGTGTGCATTAGTTTTAGTAAGAGTTTTACGACACTTGCATCACAATAAGGTCATGTAGGTGCCGAAGATTAGAGAGGTTACAAGAAAGTAACAAACACAGAAAAGAAGGAGGGGAGATAAGGGCGATAGATGTGTGTGTGTGTGCCTTTCTTTTTTCGTAAGCGTTTTACAGCACTGGCGACGAATAGAGGTGTTACAACAGAGTAACAAACACAAAAAAGGAGGGGAGATAAAGACGATAGATGTTCGATAGAAAAGAAGGAGCAAACCACACCAGAGCACCCGCCAACCACCTGAAGACAATTGTACCAGGAAATAGTAGCTTTAGTTTTAGTAAGAGTTTTACTTGCAACACAATAAGGTCACATTTGTGTCGAATAGTAGAGATGTTACAAGAGAGTAACAAACACAAAAAAGAGGGAGGGATAAGGACGATAGATGTTTGATACTTACAGCAAAAACAAAACATATCTGTCATTGTCCCCTACAGCAAAAAACAAACACACACACACATCTGCCCTGCTCAACAAAAAGAGAAGAACAATGTTCTTTACCTCGGTCTCCGCCTCTTCCTCCTCGGAAACCCTGATTGCGATCTTTTTGCCGACCCGATGCAACGTCGACCCTGATATTTTTGTTTTCAAATAGCTGGCAAAGAAGAAAAAAAAAAGCATGATGAGATTCAATAATAGACGAAAACATTTCTTACCACACACAAATTTTAAAACTGTAAAAAGTTTTTTTCTATTTTTTAAAAACACTTTTTCTTTCCATCTTTCATTTTTCTGCACATTCAATCAGTGTTAAACACCAGGTCCTACTAAAGAATAAATTCATCGATCCACATTCCTAGTTGTTTTAACACGTCCGTGTTTTTACGCCCCCACCCACTAAACTCTGATCACGTGGGATCACCCACAATAAAGAAAGCTTTGCCATTATCTAGTCACGCTGCCAGCATATTCTTAAAGATCCCATGTTGTGATACGATGCTATAAATAAAATGCTCTCATTCCGACACCCCTTTTTCTCAAAATCGTAATGTGTACACCAACATTTTAATTATAACAAAATAACAACGAAATGGTTCGTTAATCTGACAGCAGAAATGATTTCTCCACCCAAAAACCATTGGGGAGCCAAGTTTCTCTTTAACACTCCGATTAATTACTGAGACATCGTTGCTTTTCTTACAGCATCTACTAGTGCGTGGTCCACTTTTACAAGTTTTTTCCTATATATATATATGTGGGTCATCCATATTTTGCCGACCTTTACAACCCCATAACTTTTTTAAAATTTATGAACAGATTCTTTTAATTCGAAAAGTGTAATTCTTAGAATTGAAAATTCTTTCTTAAGTACCAAATAAAAATGGGCTAAAGCGAATAATCAATTTTTCTTTTGCATTGCTACATTACCCACAACAACAGACACCCACAACAACAGACACCCACAACAACAGACACCAACATCACATCAACCACGCTGTTTCCACAACACACACGATCGACCAACCACGCTGAACTTACCGCGTTGTCGTACTGCAGCGCCTCTTTTACTGAGTTCAGGTCATCAAATTCTACATAACAAAATCCTGAAAGCAGAGAGAGAGAACAGTTGTTGAGTTGCTTCCGTTATAGTAGAAGTTTTACGGCGCTCGCAACTGCATAAGGTCATGTGAGCGCCAAGGGGTGGATGTCAACAGAGAAGTCCAAACGAGGAATCAGACTTACTCTGCTCACCTCTCTAGCATCAACAGCACAAAGTCTGCTTCGGCTATCAAGACACCCCGAAAATAACAGTTCACAAGAGAGTGACAAACATACAAAAGAAGAAGAGGGAAATGACGATAGTATGGATGAAGAAAAAAAAAAGCAGCAGTTCCCCCTATGTTGTTCCAGCACAGTATGAGCATGACATTGATAAATCAGCCCGTTTACAATTCTACTGTGCATAAGAACATGTTAGTACCCACCCACCCTTTTGGGTATGGGCAAAAGAGATCTTCAGTCAGTAGCACTGCCCTGGGGGGGGGGGGGGAAATTGTTTTAGTTAGTGAAGCACACAATCACAACCATACGGGTCACACCTTTAAGGAATGTTTGTTTGTTTGAGAGAAGAGAAGCACTTTGACCTTTGATTCGACACAACATCAGTGATTTCATTCTGGGAAAAAGCCAGACGGACAGACAGAAACAACGCATTGAACATCCTATGTGTGCCCACCAGCCTTTCCAGTCAATAACTTGAGAGAGAGAGAGAGAGAGCGTCCGTCCGCGAGAGAGAGAGAGAGAGAGAGAGAGAGAGACGGAGAGAGAGAGAGAGAGAGAGAGGGAGGGAGGGAGGGAGGGAGGGAGGGAGAGAGAGAGAGAGAGAGAGAGCAATAAAAATCATATTCTTTGGTGCATGCCGTCTTAAAAGCCGCCCTTCCAGAGGCAAATCGCGAACTATTTTAAGAAAAATCTAATGTTTTGATATCATATTGACCTCGAATCCAGCCTCACACACATATACACACGCACACATACACATACTTGTGCACACAAACACAAAGCTAGTTCTTGATCAAATTCCTAGCACTGTAATGTCCATTTTTCTCTGTCTTGTATTGCCAGTTTTCTTCTAGACTTTAATAAAAGGGGAGGGGGGGGGGGGGGGAAGAAACGACTCAGTGGGAAAAAGTGAAACATCGTGTTTGAGGCAATGCAATACTGATTTGTAATGATCTCACAGTCATGAAAAAAATTAGGCTTCGTTTCTTTGGTATAATGATTGTACTCTGTTAATGTGGAGATGTTTGGTGCACTTGGTACTCTTTTATTATCTGTCAAACATGGGGTGGCAGCCAGTTACCGACTTCAGTAATATTTGTAAATTATGTTAAATTGAAACAGCTGCCATTCTCTTAAACATTGACTGAGAGGTAAAAGTATGGTACCAAAATTCTCAGGAGACATAGGCCTTTCATATGAAACAGATGAATTTGACTTACAGCTACTTTGAAAATTTATTGTGTGGTACCTAGTATAATGCTAATATTTAATTGTTTTTTTTCATAAGTTTTTTTCTCTGTGAATGAATAGTTTTCTACTTTTGTATGTTACTTTGTAGTGGCATAGCCAAGATAACTGCTAAATTTCAAGTCTCTATCTCAATTCTAAGACCCCCATTGCTATGGAAACATGTTGCTCAACTTCGGAGGCCATTTTCTCCTTTTCGTGTTTCTCACCTGGCACAATTAAAAGTTCTGTATTTTCGTCAAATATGGTCATATTTACTTACTTGTGTTAAATTGTAGGGAAAAGGAGATCGTTTTTGTAAAAAATGTTTTGAAATTTCCTTCATATGACTGATATTGACCGGCCGGGACACAAATATGACATAGTCAAAACCAAAACAGCAGAACAAGGTCAAAACAAGACACTTACCTTTAAATGTATCAGTTTCTTTGTCACGAACCAAACGGACACTTTTCACCTGAGAGAAGAAGAGAAAGAAAAAATACCATGGAAAAAAAATAAAACAAAGTTTCAAAAAATCAAACTTGTTGTAAGAAAGTTTATAAGACTTTCAGTTGTTTTTTTATTCAACATTCAATACAGTAGGGTTTACAGTACGATCTGCTTTTTAGTTTTAGTTTTAGTAGAGGTTTTACGACACTCGCAACTGCATATATGGTCATATGAGCGCTAGAAGATTAGAGAGGTGTTACAAGAGAGTAACAAACATAAAAAAGAAGAAGGGGGAGATAAGGACGATAGATGTTTGATAGGAAAGAAGAAGCAAATCACACCACAGCACCCTCCAACCACCGACGTATGATCTGCAATGAAGAGCAGACAAGACAAACATGAATCATGGGCGAAGAAACATCTACACAAAACAAGAAACAGAAAAACAAACACGAACCACAAGCAAAACAGAACATCTAACACTGACAAACATGTTATATTGATGACACTGGATTTTTCAAGCAGTTAAACTGTGACTTTTGTTGGTAATTATGCTAGAACGGCAAGTGGTCTAGTAGACCTGCATGTGAGCCTCAACCAGATTGTCTGAAAATTTTGCGCACCCCCCCCCCAAAAAGCCTTTGTGGGTGTCATAAGGAAGGACATCCGAGTAACGAGCGACCACCCCAACAAACACAATAAAGAAGAGACCTAACCCTAACCCTACCCCCAAAAAGAACCTGCAACGGGCCTCATGTAAAAAGGACAAAACAAGTCCTAAATGAAAAAAAAATTTTAATTAAAAAATCACACCCCAAAACAAACAAGGAGCATATAGATCTAGATCTAGATCTATATGGCTTACATCTACATTGCTATAGGGTTTGATACAATAACACAATAGAATTGAAATATGAATCCTCCATATAGATCTAGATCTAGTAATCTAAATAAATCTAGATCTAGATCTTGTAGAACAAGTGAATAGGAATAGGCCTTGAACTAGAAATCCGCATCCGATTCCAAACAGAGGGACTCAGCTGAGTCTAGATTCTATATCTAAATAAATAAATAATTCACGCACCTGATGAAATGCTTATAATTTTTACCAATATTAATATTACAGCACAACCTATGATAGGGTTTGACACAATAGTGACAATAGAATTGGAATATGAATCCTCCATTGAGGTCTATAATGATCTATATAAATCTAAATCTAGATCTAGATTCTATTAGAACAAGAGAGTCAGACTTGAATGAATCCACACAATATGAACAATTGAATTAGTCAACAAACGAAATTCAAAATGGCCGCTCGAGCACGAAACTGAAAGTAGATAATTTAGGTTGTCGTCCTTTTTCGTATTCGCATTTCTACTTAGGTTCCAACAATTATGTCTGAAACGCCAACGTCAGCACGAAAACGAAAGTGCCGACGAAGCCGACAGGAGAAAAAGGGGTCGCTGGCAGTTGACCAAGCCTCGCACTACGCACATTGACTGATACAGGCGGGCCTAGCGATAGCATCGGCCGGTTCGCGATTGTCGGATTTCAGACAATTGTCGGCAAACATGCAGGTCTAAATACAGTAGGGTTTACAGTATGATCTGCTTTTTAGTTTTAGTAGAGGTTTTACGGCACTCGCAACTGCATATATGGTCATATGAGCGCCAGAAGATTAGAGAGGTGTTACAAGAGAGTAACAAACATAAAAAAGAAGAAGTGGGAGATAAGGAGATAAGGACGATAGATGTTTGATAGGAAAGAAGAAGCAAATCACATCACAGCACCCTCCAACCACCCACGTATGATATGCAATGAAGAGCAGACAAGACAAACATGAATCATGGGCGAAGAAACATCTACACAAAACAAGAAACAGAAAAACAAACACGAACCACAAGCAAAACAGAACATCTAACACTGACAAACATGTTATATTGATGACACTGGATTTTTCAAGCAGTTAAACTGTGACTTTTGTTGGTAATTATGCTAGAACAACAAGTGGTCTAGGCACGGGATCTTCAACGAATGGGGATTATAAACAGCAAGATCTTAGGCAGGGACTACCGCACCACCCTCTTTTTAGTTTTAGTAAGTGTTTTACGGCACTTGCAACACAATAAGGCCATAATATTTTTATAAGTGCCAAAGATTAGAGGTGTGTTACAAGAGAGAGCACAAAAAAGAAGGAAGAGAGATAAGGATGATCAGATGTTTGATAGGAAAGAAATAGCAAACCAGATCATACCAGAGCATCCGCCAACCACCCACCCACCAAACTCTGAGACCGTTGCGTTCAACACAAAGAAACAACTGTGGAAAAACTTACATTTTGGTCTTTGAAAATTGCTTCCAGATCTCCTTGGACAATGCCCTGTGGGAGGTTGCCTACGTAGACTGTGTACGGGGGTTCTGTTGGGAGCGGCTGACTGCCTCGAGAGTAGTTGCCTCCCCCGCGGCCCCCACCGCCACCGTAGCCTCTGTCGTAGCCTCCGCCACCTCCACCACCGTAGCCCCCGCCCCGCCGGTCGTAACCTCGGTCGTTACCGTAGCTCCTGTCGCCTCCATAGCCGCCGCGATCGTCATCGTCATCCCTGAAGAGAGAATTGATCAAATGAATAAAGCTGTGTCACACGGGAGTGGGCGCTATAGAAATGATCTTTATGATTATTAAATTATTATAATTCCAAGAGTGATATATTGTTAAGAGAGAGTAACTGTGTGTGGTTACGATCGTTGTATTTTAAGCGAGTTATGTCCCTTATATCAGTGTGTATCACGTGACCATCAAGGTGTGTTAATCACGGCAGTTCAGATTAAACTCTCGAGCGAGTAAGTCTCATGTGTTGTGTTGCAAATACTATATCATACCACTTATTTTTACACTACACACAATAAAAATGTACAAGTACTTGCACAAAAAAGAGCACAGTAAACAAAATTCAAGGTTTTAAAGCAAAACAACCTGTTTGTTTTATAGAACAGCTAAATCCAATTTCTGATTACCCATGACAGTGAAAAGAATCTAACAAGTTCAAACAAAGTTCAACGACGCAGTGCAAATGATCTACCGTTTCGATCCGGATCTGTTCTTTTAAAGTTTTGTAAGCACAAGAAATTATGCGCACTTACAAGAGATTAGACAATAGGACGCTCAGCTGCAAATGGAGTAGATCTAATTCGAGACTGCAAGGTTAGCAATGGACAATGTGAGGTGCAATCTAAGGGGGGAAGCTTGGAAATTGCCATGAAAACCGCACGCTACGCAAAATCATCATCAGGCCACAATACAATCACGATCAGATCATGCAGCGGGCATCCCCCTTGCGAGGTCAAACAAGATGGCTGTTACTACAAATATTGGCCAAAGGCGTTTAGTTGTCGTTCTCTAGCTAGCTATCCGCTTTTGTGTGAAGATCAATCTTTGTCTCTTCTCATTAGCAGCCAAAATTGGGGGCATTCGGGTAATATTTTACAGTTTTCCATCTTACTGAATAAGAAGTTAAAAAAGGAAGTGGCTATTCTCACCCGTCACCCGGGGTGAGAATAGAAATACGATCGACCTCTCACCTCGGGTGAAACTTGCCACCGTAGGCTATTCTCACCCGGTGTGAAACAAGACCTGTTTTTCCTAATTTCGGAATACTTTCTATCGATGTGGATGATCAAATGGATAAAGGCAAAGAAAAGATTACGTTAAGTTATAGCACAAAAGTAAGCTAATTTGATTGTCTACAAAGATGCTATGGCTATTTCACTTTTCGAATCGAGCCGAACTACAGGGGTCGCCATTTTGTTTTGCCCGGAAGTTCTCGCAAGATCTACTCCTCCCCTCTTCTCTCTCTCTGTCTCTTTCTGAATACTGTCTATCGGTGTGGACGATCAAATTGACCAAAACAAAGTAAAAAAAAATGATGTTAAAACAAAAGTAAATTATAAATTTGGTCCTCTACAAAGATGCTACGGCTATTTAACTTTTCGAATCGAGCCATTTTGTTTTGCCCGAAAGTTCTCGCGCTACTCCTCTCTCTCTCTCTCTCTCGACTGCCCACAGACAAAATTGTACGCTTTTAGTAGGCTAACAAATGTAATGGAACGTTTGTTCACGGCACAGAATTCTACAATTTTTCTGTTACCATAGTGTAGAATTCTGTGGTTTAGGGTGAACGCAAAATTGGTTGGCCTAGATCGAGGCTATAACAGTGAACGGACACCGGGTGAGAATAGCCAAAAGACTCGCCAGCGCTATTCTCACCCGGGGTGAGAATAGAGGTGGCCTTAAAAAATAACAGTGCTGATTCGCAAGCTCTGAATGTGTAACCGACCAATCTTCTTTTCTTCAATAAACACTCAACTGTCATCGAAGATTCTGAAAATTTTCTCATTCACTGAATGGTGAATGCATAAATTTCCCAAACGAATGTGTAGGCTATTGATACTTGTGATACATTCGGCTCACACTAAAAACAGTGCTATAAATTAAGATGTTCCCAGTTACCCTCGGCTGAGACGAGTCTACCGCATTTTTTATTGGCCGGCACTATTTCTCCGAACGTTCGGGAAAATAAAGCTGGGCACTATTTCTCCGAACACTCTGAAATATCATCCTTTCCCGCAAATTTCGGATATTATATAGATCTATAATTATAGTATGGGCCTACCAAAGATTGTTCGTATACAATATGGTTCAATCGGTCCAAAAAATGTCCGCCGTAAATATTTATATAAAAAAATGCTACAATTCCAAACAGTTTTTCGCTATAGATATGACGTGTTGCCTATGAAGGGTGCTGCTCTTAAACGTAATGTGTTGTGTTCACTCGTGTGCTGTCTAGATTTAGATCTACGGAGGGTTAAACGACACATAGAACTGGCATCTGCGTTTGTCACTGCTGGAACCAATGTACTGACACTGGCAAGCCCCTTAATGTGTGTGATTCCATAATTTACATGTAATATCCTGTACTTTTTTTTAAATTACGCACATTTAGGGTTAAAACTGCCAATCTTTTTCGGACAGGTGGACACACGCCCTTATTTGTTAATGTTTTTTGTTGTTTATGGGCTGTTCTAATTTTTATTTCTTTCTGTTGTGAAACCTTTCTTTTTCACGTTTTTACACTCATCTAAAAATGTCATCTAGACTAGCTGTTGAAAATTGAAATAGATATAGACCCAAAAATTTGCTCCTGTGTGTGTGTGTGTGTGTGTGTGTGTGTGTGTGTGTATGTGCGTGTTTGAGTGTGTCTGTGTGTGGTAGTAAGTGGAGAGTGAGGAGTGTGTGTGTGTGTGTTTGTTTGTTTTTCGGGCTTTATTTCAGCCTTTATTCAGTAACAGTTCAAAGTATACAAAAATAGAAACACAGGATCCATTCACTCCAGGACTCATGAGTCGTTCGTCTCTTTCAGTTTCACTCTTTCATTCAATTCCCGTGTTCTCTCCCGCAGCTCATCCCCGTCCGCATGACTTTCATACCCCACCCCATCCCTCCAGGCACACACAAAGAAAATCTCACTTTGTTCCCTGCGAACCATGGACAATAATATAGGCAAAACACCGCCTGTGCTGCATTCCTTTTGTTCATGAGCTGTGGACCAGGCCAGGGGTGGTCGGTGTCGTCGTCTTGTAGTTGCTGTCGCCTGTGGATACACTCGCACATTCTTCCTTTCACCCGCTTTCACTCACACTGTCTCTCCATCCACAGTTCAGCTCGTCATACGTTCAAAAGTTGCCCACTAGTTATGTTTAGTTAGTGTGTGTACATGTGCATGATGGTGGTGGGTGTGTGGTGGGTGTTACTACTGAAGGTTGTCTGTAGGCGGGCTTGCCATGCGGTACGTGTTCCTTCCCAGATCAGAGGCAGAATGAAAGTTGGCGCCGAACTCTCGCAATAAATAGGCAAAAAATCACGAGACCGGAAGCCGGAAACCGTTCGGAGAAATAAAGATCGGCACTATTTCTCCGAACGTTCGGAGAAATAGTCACTTCGTTTTTTATTTTGCATTGCCAGCCAGCGCAGCAGGAGCGAGTGCTGCTTTTTTGTGCTACAAGAATTAATTAGAATTATAAAAGATCTAGAATCTAGATCTAGGGAAAGACTTCCGTAACGAGCTACCACCCCAACAAATACAATAAAGAAGAGACCTAACCCTACCCCTTACCTCTACTCCCACCCCAAACTAACCCTCTATCCGACTCTTGACTTGACTCGGTTTCATAGTGGTCACTCGTTACAGAATTCCTCCCAGATCTAGCCAACACCAATGTGACAAGGGCTCTTTTTGAACAGGATAACAAAAACACTATAAGCCTAATAATGAGAAAACCCAGTACAAACATGGTAAATCCAGCTAAAATATGATTGGACTAACTGTCAATGCCATCAATCAGTTCAATCATGAGTCTGCTGTGGACCAAGGACGCTCTATAATTCTATATTCTCAAGCAGAGGGAATTTCAGGTGCAGAGTTAAATGCAACTTTTTAAATTTCAGGTTTATTCTAGGGCTTGCAATACAATTTCTAACACGTCTCACAGACTTTATAAGTTCGTTTCGGATAAGACTAATAATGAAAAACCACGCTGTTGCAATACCATGCTGAAAGTACAAAAGCAACGCACAAGTTTGAGATCTGTGCGGTTTCAACTTTTAGTCTTGAGTGAGCAAGATGTTTGTGTTTGCACCTCCTGAACAAATGTCTACGCATTCGACTACATATGCCATAGGGAGAGTAAGAAAGATGTTTCCATTGTTTGCAGTAACATTGCATAAACCAAATGAATTACCCATTGTAATCGCCCCGGGGACGATTCCTTCCATATCCGCGATTGTCGTCAAAGTCAGCCATTTTGAATGGAAAAGGTCTGCTTCGGTTTCCGGTTCAGTAGGACATGCGCACTGCGAACCAAGGTCTACTAGCCAAAATGTACAGTTGTGATGAGTTCAAGTTATAGTCCATCAACTTATGGTCCACAAAAATAGCACAAGGGAGCTATCCCGAAAATAAATGCTGTTTTGAGAGAAACGAAGGTAAAGTTTTTGCCCCTTGTTCAGTTTCTTTAAAAGACAAGGAGAGCTTTCTCTATAACCAAGCAACATTTACACCAATGAAACCAAACTTCTCCAATAGGTATGGCAGTGCCCACTTTTGGTGTAGGGTAGGTCAAGATTTGTGGAAACCCCCGAAATCTGAGTTAGTCCGCTTGTCCACTTAAAAACGACCGTATAAGCTTCATAATATTTTTTTAAAATAATAAAATGTACAGTGTACTCCTACTTCCGTGTCTGCTCGCTATTCTGTTAGATCTACGTCATTAAGCTGTTTGGCCGTGTTATCTCGCCTCATTGTTGTTTCTTCATCACCATCATCCTTTAAAAAGCAGAGTGGTTTTATTTTAGTAAGGTTTTACGGCGCTCGCAACTGAGGGTCATAGTAGCGCCGGAAGCAGAGAGGGTATAAGGAGAGTCTTAACTGACTTATAGACAAAACGTATGATAAAAAAAACATTTACAATTTGGTTTATGAAATCAGCCCAACGTTTCCCTCGAAGGCTTCCCCGGGAGCAACTGAGAGAAGACTAATGTGCCGTAGTACCAATTAGGAAAGGAGGTCTTC